GGTGAAATAGTGGCGAGACGGCATTTCAAATCGAGGTTCTACGTGCTCCATAAGCATAAGAAATCCAGGGTTCTCTACAAAGGCGAATGGCAGGTCACTCATTGCGATCATTTGTGCTATCTTGGCTGTGATGTCCTGCGCCTTCGCGCTGTCACGGGGCATTTTTTCTCTCCTCTTCAAACTCTCCTGCAGCGTGAGCTGACTCGTCTTCGGCTGGGTTGCCTGGGTAAACTCGCTGTATTGTGTCGGGTGTTTGTTTTTGAGGTGCCGTATCAGGTTTGTTGTGTTAAATGTAGCCTTTTCCTTTCCACCTCTTGCAATCCCAAGTTTACATATCTCACAGTTTGCTATGGCAATGTTGTTGTCATCAACTTTATAATACCTCCAGACCGCAGACATACTCGCGCTTTCCGCTTCAAGCTGCTTCCGTGTTCTACTTTGCCGGCATTTAACCAATAGCGTCTCTGCAAATGTTGGGTCTGATGGCAGCTGAGTCCAACGGGATACCTTTTGGCCTGCTGTACATGAGACCCCTGCAGTGGTGGCTCAGGACCAAGGGGTTTTCCCCGAGGGGGAACCCGCTTTGCATGATCAAGGTCATGCGGCAATGCTTACATGCCTTAGACATGTGGAGGAAACTTTGGTTCCTGTCTCAGGGCCCGGTGTTGGGGGCTCCTTGTCGTTGCGTAACGCTAATGACAGATGCCTCCCTCATGGGCTGGGGAGCAGTCATGAATGGCCGCTCCGTGGGGCTCCATCTTTCACCCCCGCCTGGAGTTATGGAGACTGTGGGTGTCTCTTCTTGGTGCGACAAACATCAGCTGGATCCAGTTAACTGCAGGTTGGTTCAGTGCTGGACTTCCTGCAGGAGCAGTTCTTCACAGGGTTATCCCCTTCTACCTTGAAGGTATACGTGGTGGCTATAGCTTCTTACCACGGCCCTCTTGGTGGTCAGTCATTGGTAAGGAACCCTGTTACACGTTTCCTCCGTGGTGCGCTGAGGCCTCCGGCACGCTCTAGAGTCCCGCCATGGGATCTGGCCGTGGTTTTGGAGGTGCCCTGTGGAGGAAGTCGGACCAGTTTTTCGTCTGTTATGGTTCTCCTAAGAAGGGTCTTCCTGTTACTAAACAGACACTTAGCAGGTGGATTGTGGATGCTATTTCCTCAGCCTACGAGTCCTCTGACCTCCCCTCTCCTCTTGGGGTCAGGGCTCATTCTACTCAAAGTATGGCAGCCTCCAAGGCCTTCTTTTCAAGTGTTTCTTTGCTTGACATCTGTAACGCTTCGGGCTGGTCCATGCCGCTTACTTTTGTGAAGTTCTACAACCTTGACATTCATGCCACTCCTGGCTCCTTTGTTCTCCCGCCTTAGCTGTGCTCTTCCACACTAGGCAGGGATTTGCAAGCATGGCCGCATGGGCATACTCGTTCCCAAAGCGTTTCAACGCAACGTGAGTTCCTGAAGGGGAACGACTCTAGGTTACGTATGTAACTATGGCTCCCCGAGGGAATGAGATGCAGACATTGTCAAAGTTACTAAAACAGCATGTCCTTTTATACATAGGATTATTTTATTATTATATATAAGATTATTTTGATTTGTTTTTCCATATCCACATCCATATTTATTTGAGCGGTACCATTTTTAAATGGTAGTTTTCTATATAACATCAGGGATGCAGAGCACATTAGTACGGCCTCTGACGCAGCTGACTGACATCTTGTCCTTTTGTTGCGTTGCGTAAAATAATATAATTTACAACACATTAAAGACTTTATAAATTAAATAAAATGTATACAAACCTTTATTTCCCAGAAAGAGTGCACCAAATCTGCGGCAGCGCTGAGAGCTGCTCTCTCCTGTGGACTTAAAAAGCCTGTGCTCTCAGCAGCTCCGTTGTTGATTAGTTTCACCGGAGACAGGGTCAACCCAGCGGTTAGGTAGAAAAAAATAACCCAGCTTTAAAATGACCCAGCACCTGGATAAAAATATTAAAAATAACCCAATAAAATGACCCAACAAGCTGAGCCCAGCATTTGGGTTAAAAAATAGCCCAGCACCTAGGTAAAAATATTAAAAACAACCCAATAAAATGACCCAACAGGCTGAACCCAGCATTTGGGTTAAAAAAAAAATAACCAAGCATTTTTTAGAGTGTAGTAACCAGTATAGTTGTTTTCAACAATTGTTGTTTTAACAAATCAAAGGTGGTTTGAGAAACATTCATACTAATTGTGAACATCAGGATGTCAGAATAAATATTATCTGAACGGTTTCATTTTTATATTTATATCTGGTTCACAGTTTTTGCAACCATATTTTTACAATTTTTTAAATGTCACAAGTCTGACTTATAAAATGTAGTTAATCAAGCATTTAGTAATAATTCTCACTACCAAATCTGTGCCTGTAATGTTTTAAAAATAATAATTGGATAATAAATGTACTGAATTCAAATGAATGCATCGAAATGTTTATACTTTTCTACTGTTTTCTCAGGTTTCACGTGTCCTTTTCCTTTCACATTTTCAAGATTTACTGAAAACTTTTTTTAATGAACTTTTTTACTTTAATTTTAGAACTAATAAAAGAAAACAAGGAGATTCAAGAACTGATTGAAGAGGGGGAGAGCCATCATGTGAAAACTGAAGAAATATCCTGGAGTTCTTCATTGAAAAGAAGAGATGAAACATGTTTTCCGTGTGAAAAGACTTTCACAATAAAAGGAAACCTTACGAAACACATGAATATCCACACTGGGGAGTCACATGTGGTCAATGTGGGAAGAGCTTCAGATTAAAAGCTACCCTTAACAAACACATGAATATCCATGCTGGGGAGACGCCGTACACATGCGGTCAATGTGGGAAGAATTTCAGACAAAAAGGAAACCTTAAACACATGAAAATCCATGTTACTCATTCAAGAGAAAGACTAGATAACTGTGACCAAAGCAGTAGAACATTTGCTAGGGCAGATTTACTGAAAGACCACCTGAAAGTTCATAAAGGAGAAGCCTTATGTGTGTTATTTATGTGGAAAGAGTTTGTCAGATGTTTGCATTAAAGATACACCAGAAAAGACATAGCAGTGTGAAGGATCATGCTTGCTCTCAGTGTGGGAAGACTTTTTTTTTTTTACAGATGCTGAACTGAAAGTGCACAAGACAGTTCACACTACAGAAACACCTTACAAGTGTTCACACTGTGACAAGAGATTCAAAAGGTCAACACATCTACAAAATACATGAGAGGATCCACACTGGAGAGAAGCCGTATCACTGCCATTCATGTGGGAAAAGATTCACTCAATTATCTTCTCTAATCTCTCATAAATTACATGTCTGCCTGAAATAATAAGTAGTTCAAGTACTGATCCTGTACTTCCAGGTGTGATAGATGTAGGGCTGCATCAAGTAATTATTTTGATAATCGATTAATCAGATATTATTAGAATGATTGATCTATTGATTGTTGATTATTTCACAGATTAATCAGTAAATTGATTGATTATTCGGCTTTTGAAGTTTGTTAAAATGTTAAGTAATACCCATTCAAACTAATAAATAAAACTAGGAACTCATCAGTTTTTGAAAATGTCTTTTTAATAAACTTTGAGTAAACTGAATTATAGTCCTCTTCAGGTTTTCTGTCCTCAGAAGTCATCAGTAGATGGTTTCATCGAATGCATGCACCTGGCCCAAAGTTAACTTCTGGTCTGTGTTTGTTTAACAGTCTGGCTAGTGGCGCCAACTACAAACGCAGTTAAAGTGATGAGTAGAATGAAGTTGGGCTCAGGTTGTTATGCTGTGGGATGCAACCCAGTGTTTCACATACAGTGATTTATTTGTGGCGGCCCCACAATATCAATACTGACCACCACAAATAGATTTTCCAAAAGGCTTTGACTTTGTTGAATAAACATGAGCACTGCATGTTTCAAAATCAAAATGCGGTGCGGATGTTTCTATATCACCGTACCTCTGAAGGAAACCGTCTGCCTTCAGAAAAATGTCGATGTCATTTTCAATTAATCTTGCCTGTAATGCCTGATAAAGCAGCGTTTATGGGCGCTGCACTGCTATATACAGCTGTTGAATTTGCATTTTCAAACAGCCCATCTGATTTACGCAGCAAACATGTTGTAAATGTGAACCGGCATCAAAGTCAAAGTCTGCTTTATTGTCAATTCTGCCACATGTACAGCACATACAAAGAATTTAAATTGCGTTACTCTCAGATCCTTGTTGCACACAGATAACACTAAACACTAACGGTAGAATGTAAAAATACAAATAAATACAGATTAAAATATTTGAACTGTGCTGGCAAAATGAGTCACAATGAGCAAATTTTTGGATGAAAAATGACTGAGCTACACCCGTTTGAAGTCAGCAAAGTCAGTTCTGAGAAAAATCAAGTTGCAGTTTTCTGAAGGTTCCAAAGCAAAATCACCAAGCAATCACCTAGCAATGTTGCATTGTTTCCTCCACTTCCTTTCTTAATATTAATTACTATATTAATAATCACAAAATAGCCATTTTTTATTTTATGTTTGCTATTAATAATAAGAACAGATGCAAAAACAAATATAAGAAAGAAATAGGCCTAATGCATTACTTTTTTTAAATTTTACATCTAAAAAGCATTCAAGTAAGAAAAACAAATAATCAAATGTAAAAATCACTTCAGTGTGTTCATTATAAATAAAGTGATTGTTAAAACTACAAAAGCAGTTAAATCAAGTGCAGTGATCTTTTCTTTTATTGTTAGATTAACATTAATGAGACCGAAGGCCACTGCATGGATCTGATATGTTACACACCAAATGTTTTCCCCAACAGTTTCCCAAACGTTGAGTAACAAAAGAGAAATATGGAAGAATTAAGAATAGGTGGGTTGCCAGAGACAGGTATAAAAGATATACTGCAAAGTGGTGTGAATGGACAAGGCAGAAGAAATATTTGTAATTTCTTAATTAGAAAGGTTCTGATGAGGAGAATATGATGAAGGAAATAAGCCGGAGTAATGATGCTTCTGATCCACACTCCGGAGCAGAAGATGGCGGTAATGCACCAATACGCTGGATGACAACCGCCGTGAAAATATAAGAAAAAGAAGAAGAAGGAGTAATGATGCAGGAAAATAATCCAGAAGGTGGCGGTAATACAACGCGTTTGGATGCAAGCCGCCGTTAAACCTCGAAGAAGAAGAAGAAGAAAACAAGAAGTCACCGCTAGCGCCATCACACAGCTTTGAGTCTTCTGAGGTGAGGTAATTTGTATATTTTTACAATTATAAAAAAAAATACAGCTCGTTAAACCAACATTTTACAGGGTCATTATGTGTTGTTTAAATCTGGTACAGCTCTATTTGTGCGTCTATTCTCAAATAAAAACTTAGCCTAGCCCTAGCAGTAGGGTTGCCAACCATTCCGAATAATACGGAATCGTCCCGTTTTTAAGATATAATTTTGTCACGTATTCGCAGGCATACGCCGCATGTCCACCCACCATACGAATAACTCGGAATTGAAAATAATTGATTTTTGGACAAACTATTGTTTGTTTTGCGAACGGTAGATAAAGGCGTTAAGACCCAGCTGAATCCTGGGGCCCGTTTCAATAAGGAGGTTCAACCAACTCTTGAGTTGAAACTTGAACTCTGAGGTGACTTACCCTGAGATTGGAAACTCTTGAGTGATCGTATGGAACGATATTCCGGACAATTTTCAAAAGGACTTGCAAATTGTATTTTCAATTGCGTTTTCCATATGTGGACGCATAAATTGTGACATAATCCAAATGCAATTGCAAATCCTGCATTACCGTTTGCATTTTCGCTTTCGCGAACGCACAGTGACTGCCAAATTTCAAATGAAAAAGCAAAGTCCATTTGCAACTGTATTTCCCATGGTCCGGAATATCGTTCCATAGATCGGGTTCAGAATAGCTGAATTGAGTTAGTTCAATCCACTGAGTAGGTTGACTCTGAGTTTAGCGCGTGCACCACGACTATGAAAAGCCATGATCAATGGCGCTCCGAAATTATGATTTACCATGGCAACAGCTCCCGACAAAAAGATCGTCCGCATACTTCCGGGTCAATATGTAACTTTAATTCTTAATCACTGTTATAATATCAAAGGTAAAAAGTGGCAGAATTGTTTAAGTAATATTAATGTTCATGGTATCCTACAGGCAAAAGAAAAAAAAAGCAGCTAAACATGAAGTATAAAAACATAATGCAATCAAGGTAAAGCTTTAAGCATAAAAGGTTCATGAAGGCTACATGACTTTACAAGTATTTGACGTATTAAATAAATATTTTTCAGTGCGCAGCAGCTTTTTCCACATAGTCTAATGCTCTTTTCACAATTAAATGTTCTCTTATCCACACTGTTGCATTTCTTAATTAGAGTAATGAAATTAACATTTGACTTCTACTCAACCAACAGCAAGAAGGTTTGCAAAATAATGAATAACAGATGAAGAGGAAATGGCCACAATAGCCTACCAAGTATTGAAGAATAGTAAAATCCAACAGGAAAAAGAATAACTGTTGCTTTTTTTTTTATTTGTAGGGAATAAAGATGACCAAATAAATGTAACAGCTGTGGTGGTGGTTATGGCATATATCTCGAACTACCCTTCCATCTGGCATCCTTCCATTCCATACAGTAATCAGCTTAATTTTCAATGGGTTTGTGCTCCGAAAACGACACCAATATTACAAGAAAGAGCATGAGAGCGAGACACTTTCCTTACCGCTCTGCAAACAGCGGCCGTACTAATGTGTTCTGCATCCCTGATGTTATATAGAAAACTACCATTTAAAAATGGTACCGCTCAAATAAATATGCATTTATTAAAAAAAAAAAAAATCCTCTCCCGATGTAAATGTTACTCTCTACAGATGAATGTAGCCTCCTCATCTACAGGATTCATAATAAGAGGACAATAAGAGTTTTCACTTAACCTCCTTTCTGAAACGGGCCTCTGGTCGCTCCCGCGTCACAGTGAGAGGTTGATGAGTTTTAATATGATTTATTATTATATTTATTATTATTGGTGTCTGTGTTGTGATAAATGCACAAACCCATCCCCCAAGTTACTACTAAACGAATAATGCAGTTTCTTTAAAAAAAAAAATAAAAAAAATTGGGGGGAATTAATTTGTACATTAATAGGCTAAGCAATACACATTTTGTCTAAGAACCAATCTATAAATATATATATATTTATTAGAGATGCACCGATTGACAGTCTCACATCTTGCCGATCCTTTTGCCAGCGGTACTCACAGTCCCGTGTAAACGTGTTGTTTCGTGTGAGAATGATTCTAATTTTAATTGCATTCAGTGTAAACGGCGACTGATAATGTATTTATGTTGTGCCAGATGAGGCTTGCACAGCCTGAGTGAGAGTGTGAGCGAGACAGCACGCACAAAGTAACTCACAGAAATGTATAGATGCATACTGCGGTAGAAAAAAAAATCTAGGTAAGCAACATTATATGGCCATGATGTTTCCCCGAATATCAATATCGACACGATTGCAATGTGACACTGATTTTATACAATAGTATTTAAATAAACAAGAAGTTAAAATTAAGTGACTTAGATTTTAGACAAAATATTGACTGTTTTTGCTCAATTTCGCTGACGAAAATAGTTCCGATCAAAGCCACAGCAGGACCGTTGTGTGTCTCCGAGCAACACACAGCGGGGTTTCGTTACTGAATGAATCCACGTTTTTGAACGAATCGAGTGAGTCATTGATTCAGTGGCCCATTCATAAGGACAGTCACTTCCCTGATAGCACACATACATCTCGGAGATGTCTATTTGACGTCTGCATTTACATCTGGAAGACATATTTTTTACAGTGTTTGCTCATCTGCAATACGTCTCCTATAAATACGTTTTCTATCAGATGTCAAATAGATGTCTATTACATGTCTTTAAGATGTTTATGATTTAGAATGTATGTAAAATTGACATCTTACAGACGTCTATTAGATGTTTGTACACAGCAGATGCTTTCCAGATCAAGTGATCTTTAACAGACATCTTGCAGACGTATGTGTGTTATCTGGGTTGCCTCGTTTCTGAATGAATCAGCCGTTTGAATGAATCGGTTGAATGAATGAATAAAAGACTCGCTCATTAAAACAGACATTTGCCGCCACCTTCTGGTGGTTTAGTCATTTAAAAGTATCATTGCATTTTTTCAACATTTATTTGTATGTTTAAAAAATACGTAAAACATTAATCTTATAAAATTTATGCATTTGAAATTTTGCAGTGTAAATGCATAGGGGCACCTCAGCTTCATCAAACTGTGTAAATGCATCTAATGCCACTTCAGATGCAGCTTCTGTTTCCTCAGCAGTGGGAAAATTCCTCAGCAGTGGTAAGATAGAGTTTGTTAATACTAATTTCATTTGAATGGTAACAACTCTTCAGTTTCTTATTTATTCTAACTGAATTAATTGAAACGAAGTAAGAATTTGATGTGAAAGATGACACATTTAATAAGGTTTGGGGAAAAGAATGACCATTTATAAACATAGTGGGAAATGTATGAAGGTAATTTAATGCCTAAAAGATTTGCATACGCAGGGTAAGAGTTGTGGAAGTGATTAAAGGTTTGGTGAGAAACTTATTGTATTAAACCAGGGGTGTCAAACTCAGTTCCTGGAGGGCCCTGCAGAGTTTAGCTTCAACCCTGCTTCAACTCGCATACCATGTAGTTTTCAAATAAGCTTTAATGACTTGTTGGCTGGATCATGTGTGTTTAATTAGGGTTGCATCTAAACTGTGCAGGACTGTGGCCCTCCATGAACTGAGTTTGACACCGCTGTATTAACCAATAATGCTCACATTTTTCATGCACTTACTTTAAGATGCAATCCTCAATTATATCAAATTAAAGTTGTTCAAATAAACAATTTCCAGCCCATAGATGATTATTTCAAAATGACTATGTTGATCATCTTAAACGATTCATATCTTTCATGATTGCATGCAATGATTGAATAGCATAATACTAGGGCAGGGGTGACGAACGTCGGTCCTGGAGAGCCGCAGCCCTGCAGAGTTTTGCTTCAACCCTAATCAAACACACCTGAACAAGCTAATCAAGGTCTGAACAGTTACTAGGAAGCTACAGGCAGGTGAGTTTTAATTAGGGTTGGAGCTGAACTCTGCAGGGCTGCTGCTCTCCAGGACCGGATTTCGCCACCCCTGCTATATACCATTGGTCTCAAACTCAATTCCTGGAGGGCCACAGCTCAGTTTAGCTCCAACCCTAATCTAACGCATCAATCAAATAATGTTACACATTAAAATGAAGGATGACATACATAGTAAGGTGTCAGGAAAAATAAAGTTTTAAATATTGACGTTTATTGCGAAGTACAACTAAATTAGTTTAATTTTCTTCACAAAACTAGTGTCTAGTTTAGGAGGACGATAAATAAGTATGACAAGTATAGGAGTGTTGCCATTAATTTTCACCACCAATCATTCAAATGAAGACATAACAGGTGTGGTCATTACAGAAACAGGCAATTCAGATTTATATAAAATTGCAAGACCACCACCTTTACTGGTGAGTCAAGGTCTATCAATATATGTATTAGGGATGGGTCACGATTTTCGAATATTCGATTAGTTGATTTAATTATAGAATATCGAATAGGTTGTGCGATTGTCTTTCCCCATGTTTTCCGTGCTGATGCGGTGGTGTCGCGTTCATGTGGAGTGGCCAATAACGCACCTAAAAGCTGTCAAAGACAACAGAAGAATGCTTTGTAACACGCACACTGCAGACTTGCGTAGCATATAATGGTTACAGTAACTTGGGACGATGTCAAATAAGAGCTCTGTGTGGACCACAAACACCCCCGACTGGGTTAGAGGTGTGCTGAATCCGTATTCAGAAAGGCGCATAAAACAAATAACACGTTCTACGGAGCCACTAAAGGGACATGGTTAGCCGCTTGCTAGCGGTGGCCTGTTACATTACAGTACATAACATTTAACTTCCCACATAAACAGAGTAAGGAAAGATGACTGATAGGATGATGGTGAATAATTTGCAGATCCTGAGCACCACTGACAAACATCTAATCTTGTAAAATGTGTGGTAATACTGCCGAGTGCTGCCCCGTATGTGATCGCGAATCTCGAAAGTAAAAACAAGCGCGCGTTCAAAAGCGATTTCAATGCCTTGCATATTATTAACGACTCCTTGATGCCCGCAGTTTATATACAGTATAATTACCCAACGATATAATTGCTACAGAAGATATTGAAGTATATTTTTCCTCCCGTCTCGTATCTATTCCCTTTAGGGATTCAATTTTTTTAAATGGAAATGTCCTAGCCTTATGAGCAGTTCTTCTGAATTAAACAGTTTATCATACAGATTGAAAGCGTGAATCCCGTCTCTCTCTCCATCTCTCTCTGTTTATGGGTATTTGTGCGTGCTTGCGTGGGAGGGGTGCGATTTTCGAAATTTTCGAATATAATACCAAGCGATTTTCGAATATTATTTTTGCTTGGAATGCCCATTCCTAGCACATGAAGCACATGAT